TATTTGATTTAAAATATGCTTGCTTATTGCAGTAGTCTCTCAGAAAATGCTAGTTACACATTTGACATTGATTGAATCTCAGTTTTGAGATAATTTTACATGCAGAACAGAGAACTCAGCTAATAATCACTTTGGATCTTGCTCTTAATCTAATCACACTTGAAGTGACAGGTTTCTGATTTCACCATGCCAATAAAGCTTGTACTTCCATGTGTATTAGCCATCTACCTCTTCATTTTAGCAATAAGTATTTAACTACATGTGTCACTGTGGGCAGAAGGATGGTGACCCTGAGAACTAAATGTTTCCCGTGCCTCAGATCAGCTTCTCTAAATTAATAGAGGAATATTCAAAAATTTCATGGAAAAGATACTCAATGAGAAAAAAAATACAAATAAATTTTGAAACCTTTTCCAGGGACAAAATTATTTTGTCTGTTAATTCAATTTTCACAAACATTTTGAAGTATTTCTGCACATCAAATGAGGGTTAATTGGTTGGAGGTATGAACACCATTTTGCATATTATTTTTTGCTGTTCTTATTTATTTATTTATTTATTTAAATATTGAAGTATTATTCAGATTTTGAAATGCAGGACAACCTGCATTCCAAGCGTAAATAAAACCACAATGAGTGAGATATCAGCTCTCTCCAATTGGGATGGTTATTATCCAAAAGTCAAAAAATAATGAATGCTGCTGAGATCACAGAAGAAAGAGAACCCCAACACACTATTGATGGGAACAAAAGTATTACAGACTCTCTGAAGTACAGAATGGAGTGTGCCTAGAAAACTAAAAGTGGATCTGCCATATAACTCAGTTCTTAAATTTTTGGAAACATATCCAAATGAATTGAAATCAGCATATGAAGATATCTCTGCACTTGCACATTTATAGCAGTCCAATTCACAAACAGCAAAGTTATGTACTGAATCAAATTTTTATCAAGTGATGATTAAATAATGAAAATGTGTGTACATATGTATATATGATGGAATATTGAGTAGCCATAGAAAGAATGAAATACTGATATTTTGCAACAAAATGGATGAAACTAGATCATTAAATTGATTGAAACAAGTTAGAAAAATGAAGAATTCCATGCTGTCTCTCATATGTGGAAGGCTTTTTAAAAAATTTATTTATTTATTTTACTAGAAAAAGCATTTACAGAAAGGAGAGACAGAAAAATCTGCAACCCATCGTTTTCACTTCCCAAATGGCCAGAAGAGCAGAGCTGAGCTGCTCTGAAGCCAGAAGCCTTCTGGATCTCCCACACAAGCATTGCGTCCTAAGACTTTGAACCATCCTCTGCTGTTTGAACAGGTCTTACATAGGCAGCTGGATGAGAAGTGGGGCAGCCAGGACACAAACCAGTGCTTCTATGTGATACTGGCACTTGAAGGTGGAGTATTAGCTCTGTACCCTATTCTGGAAGTGTAGATACAGAGCATAAAAATATGTGAATGTTGCGCCTGGCACTCTACAGCCTAGTGTTTAAATCTTCGCCTTGCATGCACCTGGATTCCAAATGGGCATCAGTTTGTGTCCTGGTTGCTCTACTTCTGTTCCAGCTCCCTTACTGTGGCCTGGGAAAGCACTATTGGACAACCCAAAGCCTTGGGACTCTGCACCCATGTAGGAGACCCAGAAAAGGCTCCAAGCTCCTGGCTTAAGATCAGCTCCACTCTGGCCATTACGTTACCAGGAGAGTGAACTGGCAGACAGCAGATTTTTCTTTCTCTCTTTCTCTCTGGAAATCTGACTTCCCAATAAATACATTTCTATGAATATCATATTATTTGGTATATGGATTAGTGTTATATTAAATGCCTAATACTCTAAATAATAATATACTCTCCATTCTTCACTTCGTCACAAGTCCCACATTATATATTAATATTTCTGTTTTTAAGAAAAACCAGCATATTTGTGCATCTACATAAGGTGAATATAGCAAAACATTAAAATTTGTTGTCTATTTTTTTTTAATCCAAGGAGAGAAGATGGCATTATGGTATAGCTGGTGGAGGCATAGCCAGTGAAGCCATAGCATGCAAGCTTGGCATCCTGTATCTGCATGAGTTTGAGTCCTGACTGCTCCACTTCTAATACAACTCCAAGTTAATGTGTGGGAAAGCAACAACAGATAATCCTAGTGTTTGGACCCTACGCCCATATGGACAATCCAGAAGAAACTGTTGATACCCTCCTGCTGACCAACAAGGCTCCGGTATTGTGGGGAATGATCCAGTGGATGAAGGATCTGTCTCTCTCTTCACTCCCTTCTCTCCTTCTCTCTGTATAATTCTTTCAAATAATAAACAAATCTTTACAACAAATCCAAGAGGAAACTAGTTACCGTAGAGTAGGAGGTTGTATACGTGTGTAGTAGAAAGTACATGAGAACTATTTGTACCTCAGTTTTTTTGTGAACTTTATAATACTGTAAAAACTAACTAAATAAATACATTTTGGTAATAAAAATAAAAATAATCTAAGTTAAAACCAATTGAGTTTAAGCACCTCAAAAGTTGTAAGAAAATGAAACTAAAATGGTTGCTATTTTGTTTTGCATGACGGCAAGAGAATAGCTTTGACTTCCATGAGTTCAGAGCTTAATTTCTAACCTTGAGTAGCATGTTTGTTTCTGGGTTATTTGTTGAAATTATGTAGCCATTGTAAAATTGATGGCCTTGTGGCTAGACCCTCACCTTGCATGTGCTGGGACCCCATATGGGTACCGATTCCTGTCTCAGCTGTTCTACTTCTTTTCCAGCTCCCTGCTTGTGGCCTGGGAAAGCAGTAGAGGATGGTCCAAAGTCTTGGGGCCTTGTACCTGCATGGGAGACGCGGAAAAAGCTCCTGGCTCCTGGCTTTGGATCAGCTCAGTTCCAGCCATTGTGACCACTTAGGGAGTGAACCTCTGTCTTTCCTTTTGTCTGATAATCTGTGTTTCCAATAAAAAATAAAAAAAAAATCTTTTTAAAAAAGGTTCAAATTGCAACTAAAAAAAAAAAAACACCTCCTGAAACAGTATTTCCTTTGTTGTTGTATGGGCACAACAAGGCTGGGAGTTTCATTTGCCCACCTGTACATTCCTGTCAATAGGAGGAGCTGCTTTTAGATCAATGGAGCAAGGAGTCAGTGAAATCACAAACAGAATAGTTGTTTGTTAACATTTTCACATATATATATATATTTCCATTAAAAGTTTTATGAGATATTTTCACTATATTATGTGTGAATAAATTTAGGCTAAATAGAACACTAGGATTAAAACCTTATTTGTTGCTTCTTTTTTTCAAAAACAGCTTGTCTTGAGGTAAAACTACAGGATTTCCTACATAGCAAAGTAGGTAAATTTGGTCCCAGCGCGGTGGTCTAGCGGCTAAAGTCCTCGCCTTGAATGCACTGGGATCCCATATGGGCACCGGTTCTAATCCTGGCAGCTCCACTTCCCATCCAGCTCCCTGCCTGTGGCCTGGGAAAGCAGTAAGGACAGTCCAAAGCCTTGGGACACTGCACCAGCATGGGAGACCTAGAAGAGCTCCTGGCTCCTGGCTTTGGATTGGCGCAGCACCAGCCGTTGCAGTCACTTGGGGAGTGAATTATTGGATAGAAGATCTTTCTCTCTTTCTCTCCTTCTCTCTGTGTATCTGACTTCACAATAAAAATAAAAATTTAAAAAATAAGTAGGTAAATTTAACTTAATTGTGAAGACAATGAGAAGTTGCAAAATCTGAATTGGACAGTAATAGTTTGCAAACTGGTTTGAAAAATAATAAACTGTGATGATGTCTTCCGTTTCAAATGGGAATTTGGAGGTAGTAATAGGCTTTGGAATATTTCAATTACAGAGATGTATAGTCTTAGGAATATAAATTGACATTATATTGGTGTTTTTGGCAGTTACAATAGGAAGAAATAGAAGTCGAAAGGATTGTTTTTGCTAGTTGAATAAATTAACATAAAAGCAAATAAATGTAGTGACATTCACTACATCCTTTAATATAAAGAGAAGGGTAGGCTTTATGGAAGAGCAGATGGCTGAGCTGTGTCTGGAGGTAACAATGGTGTTTCAAAAGGACAACATGGTGGAGAAGGCTCAGCAGGGAAGAAAGAGACCAGGCCTTGACTGAAGTGGGAGGCAGCTCAACAGGTCACACAAAGCAGCATTGGCCATGTTGGAAGGGTATTGCACCATACACCAAATGGGTATTGGAACTGAAGAGCAAGAGTCTTACACTCAGAATTTCTTACTTATTGCAGGATTTCAAAGAACTGAGCAACACGGAGAGTCACGTCTATGCCAGATCATTTGATGGCCGACAACATAAAGATCTAAGCTTTTCCCGAAGAAACTGCAGTTGACATCATTTACTTATGAGTCAAAGAGGATGGCCCTCTAGTAATACACGGTGACCACAGCTCCCCAAATCCATTTTCTTTTTATCATTTGTCTCATATTTTGCTCTCTATCTGCAACATTGTACTATAATTTCTTTGCTTAATTAATTCTTAGTCAATATTCTAGGTTTCACCTAAATATCATATCCCTCCTTTAGTGCTCTTTTAATCTCTCATTAAGTCCCATCCCTTTGTACTGTTGCAGTTTAAGTTCTATAATCCTGGTATTTTACAGACTACATTCAAAATAGCTCTTTGCTTCTATCTCCCCCTCCAGATTTTAAGCTTCTTGATGTCTTGCTACTTCTTGTACCTTTGCATTTATCAGCACACCTGGTCCAGGATAATTACTCAAATTCTTATTTAGTTATAAAGAGTACTAACATGAAAAGGATAAAGATGATAAAGAAGAAAAACACATAAAAAGAGATGACAAAGAGGAGAAGAGACAGGAATAAGGATGATATATTATGGGCTAAATTTTAGTAGAATACGTGCCTGTAACTCTGTGGTGAAGTGGAAGGAGGTACCAACATGGCAGTTTCTGGAAGTGGAAGGGAATGAAAGGAGGCTCTGTTTTTTTCCGTTATAAATGTGGTTTGACAGGAAGAAATACATTTGACCTATTTGCTGGGAATGTCCATACACATTTTAGACACAAAGGTATTTTATTCTGGAATGTGATTCTTAATAAACTTGAAATTATTTTTCAAGGCAATCTTTTAGGTACAGTTGCAACACTTTCCTTGTTTTTCTATGCACCTTGTGCCTGAAGCTTTTTGCTTTTCTGCCAGCCTGCTGACTTGCCCCTAGACCCGGGGCTGGTCTTTGTGATATTGCTGTTAGTGAAGTCCAGTGAAAGGTGACTTTTGGCAAGGCTTACTGCATTATGAGCAGAATAACTATAAATGATCTTGACAAAGGCAGACTATGTATTAGTCTTTTGCTTACAAATAACAGCATTTGGGAAAGAACATAGAACACAGGATCCCATAGTTAGGCATTAAAATAATAATAACCTCCAGAGTTGGCAAATATTTGCCAAATGTGGTAGCACCGACAGGAATGAATATGATTGAAGCAATGAAGTAAATGAGCATCCCAAATGTTATGAATTTGGCTTCATTATAAGTTTCAGTTAATTTCCTTTCTTTGAATGCAAATATGAAGCAAATGAAGGCAAGGATGGCAATATAGCCCACCATGGTGCCAATGCAAGGGTGAATCGCTCTTCACATACCTGGATAATGACTCTGGGCAAGGAGACATCCTCCTCCATAGCAGGTGCTGTGAAGACCAGCCAGAATGTGCAAGTGATACCCTGTATGCTGATGCAAATGCGGACAAAGAGGATAGGTTTACAGGGGTCCTTCAGGAAATTCTGCAATGTGGCATTGATGCTGAAGGCTAGTACAATTTTCAATGACTTCAACAAAATGCAGGAGACACAGAGAGTAAAACTCACTCTGTCTGTTTCTACATGTTGAGTCTGGTGGTTCTCCAATGTAAAAGCCTGTGCTGGCAAAGTTGAACCAATGACAAAGGAAGATCACAGAACACACCATCAGCTCTCCAGATGATGTCATGACAGGTGTGTTCAGATGGTGCCAATGGCCAGAACAAACAGGGTTTCTAGTAGGGAGAGGGTCAGGAGCAAGATAGCAAGAAGTCACTCCACTTCCATCTCAAAGCACTTAGTGCTGCTTACAGAGGCCCGGTGAACTTTGTTGTTGCATAAAAGGCCGTGATCTGTATCTAAAAGACAGGAGGATTCAGTTACATCGCAAACATTTAAACTGGGTGATAGTCCATACTACTACAAATCAACTCCTCCTTGAGAGTAGTCTTGCCTAGAAAACAGATACACTTAATGGTCACGTAGGTTACTTATTAAAATAAAACATGCCAGGAACCTCAAAGGAAGTAAAAAGAGAAGGAGTAAAGGTGAGAGGAGTGCAAGAAGGCATTAGCAAAAAACAAAACAAAACAAAAACAGGCTAGCCTGGCTATGAGTCTTTAGGAAATTGATATACGCAAGATAGACAACAGATTCTACTCTTTCTTGAACCTGTAATTGTAAGTACCAATTCAGGGACTATGTCAGGAATTAGGGCTGTGGAATTAGGCATAGCTGAAATCCTGTTCTTTTCTCTACAACTGTGATCTTGGACAAGCTAACTGAACTTTTTGATCATGTTACCAAATCTGTCTCTAAGGAGATGACAATTATAAAACGCTTCACATGAGGGCCCAGTGCCATGTGAATCCTAGTGGCTAAAGTCCTTGCCTTGAACATGCTGGGATCCCATATGGGCACCAGCTCTAATCCTGGCAGCTCCACTTCCCATCCAGCTCCCTGCTTGTGGCCTGGGAAAGCAGTAGAGGACAGCCCAAAGCCTTGAGACCTTGTACTCACGTGGGAGACCTGGAAGAACTCTGGCTCCTGGCTTCAGATCAGCACAGTTCTGGCTGTTGTGGTCACTTGGGAAGTGAATCATAGGATGGAAGATCTTCCTCTCTGTCTCTTCTCTTCTCTGTATATCTGACTTTGTAATGGAAATAAATAAATCTTTAAAAAATGCTTCACATGAGACATTGCATACCACAGACTTCAATATATGCAAACTGCTCCTATGAAAAAAGATACAGTTCCTATAAAATTAGAGATAGTTTTGGCTGAGTCATTTTAAAAACGTTAGATCTCTTTGCACAGTGAGACAATATAAGATTGTAAGCAATGACACTTGATGAAGAATTTAGTTGTCATTTAATTATTGGTTGAATTTATTTTCTCCCCAAGATATTAGTGAATGCAAGCCTTTCACACTGCAGTGAAGACCTTGGGAGGTATTTATGTTGGCTTGGGCAACAGGGCAGCATAATTGGTATTAGAATATAATCTCTGGAGAGGGATTGTGTTTGTTTCTTACCCACTGCACCTCCCTTCCCAACTACCCCACTAAGTATGATACATCTTCACTGCTTTCCAAAAGCCCCTCTTAGGGCATCCATCCAATTATACTTCTGGGATGCTTAAAGTGCTCATTCTCATTTTCAAAGGTCTGGTGTTCTGTTTTATTAACTTCTGAGTGAGGTTATATTTCTGTTAATAAGGTTCACACCTTTTCTACCATCACTCTCTTTCCTTATAAATATCTTTTTTTTTTCAGTTTTTGTCTTAGTCATGATAGTTGGTGGCTACTATACCATTAGCTCAGCGTGTGTCAAAACACATGCTGGCGATGTAGATAATACGACATGACCTCATTTTAGAGCAGCTCCTAGCTCTTTCCAGGATATTCTCAGTCTCCTGTGCTAGCTTCTAGAAGTAGCTGTCCCTGGTTACCAGAGCACAACTCAGTTGGGCCTAAAAAGACTGCAAGACTACAAAAACTCTCTAGGAATTTTTACTTATCTGTCTTCGAAGATAGTTACTACATGCCATATTTCCTAAACTCATCCTAAGTAATTTAATTACTGAGATTGTAGCATTGTTTCTCTCAATTTGGGTTCTATCACATTTTGGCAATACTATGACAGAAAATGGATATTAGAAGATTTACATGAGTATGCTTATATCCTTGAAGACAATAAAAAAAAACCCTACAGTTGTGCCTTGATATTCATGGGAGATTGGATTCAGGACCCTCTGTGGATATCAAAATCTAGGGATGTTCCAATCTACTACAGAGTTGTATAGTATTTGTATTTAGCTAAGACACATCTTTCTGATATCTTTAAATTATTTGTATATTACTTATACAATTTAATATCATGAAATGCATAAAATTGTTATATTATTTAGAAAAAAGTAACAATGAGATTCTATAGTTGCTCAATATAGGCATATATATGTAAAATTATATATATATATATACGTATATATATAAATCTCTATTTGAGGCTGCTTGAATTTGCAGTTACAGATCCATGAAGAATAATTTCCAGTTATACTCATTTGGAAACTATTCTGGCTCTGAGGGTTTCAGGTTTTATACTCAATGAGTGGGAATCCTACAGTCAGCAAGGGAATATGGAGCTTTCAAGTAGTCTTCATTTCAGAGAAAGTGATGAGAGTTTCTTTTAGAGCCCAATCTTGTTCAGCTGACCTCAGTCTTGTTCTTTAGCTTGTGTAGTTTGTTCTGATCTTGTCAAACCGTTGAAGATAGAGTTGGCAAACAACTGGTGCCTACTACCTCATCTCTGTCAATAGCTCAGTCTCTTGACTCACAGAATCTTCTTTTTTTTAGGCTTAACTTTTGCCCCTTGGTAGGAATCATAAAATTACTGGAATATATACCTCTGTTTCTTAATTCCGTGTGCCTGAGTTTTTAATCTATTCAGTCTAGTTAGTTCAGCTTTTACTTATTGGTGATTTTTGCAGCCAAATCACAAATCAAGCAAGTCTGTGTGGAGGTACATTGACAAAAAAGACAGAGGAGTTAGAGAAAGTTGCTGAAGAGAAACCTGCATGAGGCAAATGCCTTTCTCCTTGGAACTGAAGTTGTTTTCATATCTCTATTAGTTATAGATTGTGTGGCTGTTAATGTAACTTAGCAAATTTTGAGCTAAATGAAATCTCACTGGAATTTTTCTGAATGGGAGAATGGTCAAAATCTTTGTGTTTTCCAATGAAAAAATACACCAAAATGGGATTCATATGAAAAAGTCAACTTAACAGAAAAAGTATGGTCTGTCACTGTTCATGTTGCTGGGATTATAATTGCCTGTCTGGTTCCTGTGGTGGTTTTCAGGACAATTCTGATATTCATAGCAACAGCTGTGTTGACTTCTTGTAGTTGTCTTCATTTGTCCAGGATTTCATTCCTAGGAGCACTCCTATTGAATTCGCTAGATTAAATGTCAAAAGAAATCCCTAGTTCATTTTGAAAAAAATTACTTTGAAACATTACTCTTAATTCAATTTTAACATGTATTTCCTAGATAGCATTTTAGCCTTTTTTCATAATACTAAAGAATTTTTTGGCCATCTTGAGTAATATGAACAGCTTAACATATACCAAATGTTTCAGGTGTTGAAATCACTTTAGAAACAACACAGTATTAGTCACATTAACTTCCATAGTAAATTATGGAAATCAGCTATTTCAGAAGTTCCCTAGCAGAGGCAGAGAATATAAGAAATAACAGGAAAGAAGGAAATTATGGTCACATCTATGAAAATGGTAAAATATTTGACTTAAGTATTCTGGACAAAAGTTCTTATCATGTTCTTTGAGGAGGAAATACTCTCTAAATAGAAAAGTCAAACCTGGTAATGTTTTGAATTTACAACCATGAACATGTTTATTAAAAAGAAAACCTTAACTACATAAATAACATTTAAATATTCTGAGATTTTACGTAAGATTCTGCAAGACACAATGTAAATTACATGCAATGTTCTAGTTTTAGAGAGTTTTATGCATCAGATGCAGCCCATAGTTATTTTCACTCCAGTATGTTACTCTTTTCCATCCCTATCCCCTTTAACATAGCATACCCTATGAGATGAGTTTGTGTTGCTGCTGTACCCTTGGGACACCAGGGTAAATGGTTCAATGTGGCTTTGTCAAGATGTTCTTCACCACTGTTGCTAGTCTTTTCTCTCGAATGTGAGGATGAGTTGGACGATGAAAAGCAGCCCAGGTTTTAAATAGCTTCCTCAATTAAGGCCTCACTGAAAAGTTGTAACTGTAGGAAGGACAGAAAAGAGGTGTGAAAACAAATTCTATGGACATCTTAGAGAATCATTACAAGCAAATGAAACAGCAGGTATAAAATCCTCAAGTAGGAGAAGGGGGAAACACACATAGAAAAGCAAGATAGGAGAAAGTAATAGGAAATGAGGTCAGGCTGGTAGAAGAGACAGGTTATACAGGAGGATGTGGGGAAATCAGCCGAGTTTCTTCTTATTCAGATAAGAGAACTAGCCTACTCATTATCAATGTATGAATAATGCAGGAAAGAGAAGAGTTAAAGATGCAGGAGAGTGTGTTATTACCAAATGATGTCTTGAGTAAGTGAAGATGTCAAGTGGAGGAGCGGACTTTCCCAGCAGTCACTCGATCCACAGTACCAGACAGAGGGCAGGGATGTGGACAAAGGTGGCAGGGAAACCCAGATCATTCACGCTTATTCCGTTCTGTCACTGGAACAGAAAGACATATCCAGGGAAGCAGTAGGCAATGCTCAAGCAGTTGGGTCACTGCCACTCCTGTGGGAATCGTGGGTTGAGTTCCTTGTTGTCGTGACTTTGGTTTAGCCTAGTCATAGTGTCTGCTGGAAGCAGAGAATCAAATGTTTCTCTCTGTCTCTCAAATAAATTAAAATAATTAATTAAAGTGAAATTACAAAGCCTCTCTGTTTCCTTTCATTTTTTTTTTCAGCATGGCTTAGCTCTTAAGGAAGCATGGAGTAGGCAGACATGTAAATTTAACAAGGTTTGTGTTAGTTGAGTGCAGGGATAAGGAAGAGAGACAGTAATTGAGGGTGTATACAATGGATCATTATACTTTTGAGGGCATGGTACTAAAAGGCAAAAGTGTGGACCATGAAAAGGCTGAAGGTCTGAGCAGAGTCAAGAATGTTAACAACTGAGACAGCAATCGACTTGAAAGCTACAAAGCTGCTACCACAAAATTACCTTAAGATTCTTGAGTTCTCATCTTTTCTTTCTTGTTTTGTGACAATGAAGACGTAATTATATAGATTATATTCAGCCATATTTGCAAAAGAGAAATAGCCATTGATTTCTTTCCAGAACGCATCATACTCAGTATTCAAAGTCCCCATGGGCATCAAAGTGAAATTAATTCAGAAACATTGAATAAATACCATAAAGTGTATAATCATTCAAATGGTAGCACTGGCTTATAAGAATGTCGCTTAATAATAAAAAAAACAAGTAAATTCTGGTTTATTGTTTGGGAGATTGTTAATCACCTAGCAAGAGTTTCAAAATGAATTGCTCTTAAATTCTAACCTAATTTCTGCCAAATTGCAATTTGAGAATGTAAATTGATCTCTATGTATGTAGTTTCTCTAGCCTATAAAATTGAAATTTGAGCATCTGCAAGTATGTATGTTGCAGAATTTCATAATGGCCTGAGCTCTAATTAAGGATTCATTTCCCATTAATGGTATGACTATGGTAAACCCGATAACTTGCTGTCTTAACACCATCAGTGATTCTTAGTCTGCTCCAAGGTCCACATGCACACTATAGTGACCTCTAGATTTAATTCAATACGCAACATGCTTATTAAATTTGACTGGGAATAAATATCATGAAGACTTACTTGTCTTTTTGCCCGTGCGGTGCAGTGAGAATAAGGATAGACCTGGGACAGAGAGTGTTTCTAAGAAACAAAACAGCTGTTGATTTGGGTACAATGGAAGAACACTAAAAGGAAAACAGATTTCCTATTTGCATCTAATATTAATTTGATATTTAGGCATGGCTAAATAAATATGCTTACAAAGGCTTTAATCACTACCTAAACCATGATTCTTGTTGAGTTCAAAATGTACAGAATGAAATAGAGAATACTCAGTTGGAATAGGTGTTTCTATTCCATTTTTTCCACAGTTCATCTATTTTTAGAGGATTCACTTTTTTGAGGGGGTTCAGAGAATATAATAAAATTAAGTTCTAAGATAAATTTCATTTCAATGACCAAACATAAGTTAGGCCAAAAATTTAAAGGTATGTTTGTTTTTACATATAATTCTCATGTATCTTAAGCATTTTCATGAATGCTAAATTTAAAAAAAAAAGACTTACAAATATTTATTGGAAAATCAGATTTACAGAGAGGAGAGACAGAGAGAAACATCTTCCATCTGCTGGTTCACTCCCCAAGTGGCCACAATGATAGGAGCTGATCCAGTCTGAAGCCAGGAGCCAGGAGCTTCTTCCAGGTCTCCCACACGAATGCAAGGTCCAAAGGCCTTAGGCCATCCTCTACTGCTTTTGCCAGCCACAAGTAGTGAGCTGGAAAAGAAGTGAAGCAGCTGGGTCTAGCGTGATAGCTTAGTGGCTACAGACCTTACCTTAGGCCAGGATCCATGTAGACACCGTTTCTATCCCGGGCAGTCCTGCTTCTCATTCAGCTCCCTGCTTGTGGCCTGGGAAAACAGTCGGGGATGGCCAAAACCTTGAGATCTTGCACCCACGTGGGAGACCTGGAAGAGTCTCCGGGCTCCTGGCTGCAGGTTGGCTCAGCTTTGGCCATTGTGGTCACTTGGGGCGTGAATCATCGGACAGAAGATCTTCCTCTCTCTTTCTCCTCGTCTCTGTACATCTGACTTTCCAATAAAAAGAAATCTTAAAAAAAAAAAAAAAAAGAAGAAGTGGAGCAGCCAGGATGCAAAAGGGCACCCATATGAGATCCCAGTAAATGCAAGGCAAGGACTTTAGCTGCCAGGCTATCATGCCAGATCTGCTAAACTTACTTTTAAAAAAAAACACAATATAAAACATACTTAACGGAATTGTCCAACAAAATTTATCTAAGAGGTGTCTAAAAGAAAGAGCAGAGGAAGTAATAATAAGGCCTGCTTCCAGTGTTCTCACTGCTGCCTGTGCACTGGTTTGTCTTCCTGTCCTTGCTTAAGCAGCGTACACAGAACCTCAGTGTCTCAGCTGGTTAGGGTGAATATCCTCTTTCACTCCTGTGTTTGAACTACAACTCCCACCTGTTTTCTCCTACATTTAATGAGGTTTTACAAGGTAAAGTTCTGACACATATGTTCTGTAAATAATGATAACATTGTATAATGTAAATAAACTGCAGGATTGTGTGCTTGTTTTTACAGGAAAGAGGGTGGGGGTAAATAAAGCAGTGCATTTATAACTCACTAAATAGGATAGAACATGTGCTCAGGACTAAGGTAAATTTTGTTAACACTTCAGTTATTAAGCTATTCGGGGCTTTTCCCATCAGTTATTTATACAGTCAGGTTGCCACATCAGTTAGGGTGTTATGGTTAGCATTGTCTGTGCTGACTGCTGTATCTCCAGAGAGAAGCTTGTGTGTGAAAAGATGAAGTTTTCAAAAATTTTGTGGAAAATATATATTATCAAAAAACTATGAACAGATTCAAATGGTTTTTGTAGCACAATGAATTGATTTTTAAATTCAATTTTCATAAACTCAAGTATTCTCATGTTTATGTAGCTTAGTTACAGAACAACAAGGAAACAGCTTATTTCTCTGCAGGGATGCTCAAATCATGATATTTTTTTCTCTTCTGGAGTTTTCTTTCTTTTCTTTTTTTCAAAGATTTATTTATTTTTATTGGAAAGGTAAACACAGAGAGGAGGAGAGACAGAGAGGAAGATCTTCCCTCCGATGGTTTACTCTCCAAGCGGCTGCAACGGCTGGAGCTGAGCCAATCTGAAGTCAGGAGCCAGGAACTCTTCTGGGTCTCCCACATGGGTGCAGGGTCCCAAGGCTTTGGGCAGTCGTTGACTGCTTTCCCAGGCCCAAGAAGGGAGCTGGATGAGAAGCAGTGCTGCAGGGATTAGAACCTGTGCCCATATGGGATCCCAGAGTGTGCAAGGCGAGGACTTTAACCACTACACTATCGAGCCAGGCCCTCTTCTGGAGTTTTCTTTGGTGCAGCAGAAAGCACACTAAACTCTCAGCTGGAATGGTGCTAGTTATAAGTCACCATGGACCAGACTTTAGTTTGGAGTTCCCCCATCTATAAACGTCTTCAAGTCTTGTTAACTGCTAACACTTTCTCTCCCTGCTTCTCTAAGCCTAAGTGGAAAGTACCTGAGTTCTGCAGACCTATTGTAATATTGTAAAGATTAAAGCATCATTAGTCTTACCATTATTGTTATTCTCCTTAACACATCAAAAAGACACTTAGGTTTCTCCCAGCTTCCAAACTCATGTGTAATCACATGGCTGCCCTCGTGTGTATCATCAGTTCTTCAAATCCAACAAATCTCTAAAATGGAATTCCACTGTTTTGCCTACCAGACTTCCACTTTTTCTAGTTCCTAATTTTGTTCCCAGTAAATGGTACCATTGACCAATTGTGGAATCATTTATCACTTATTTGTTGTTTTTAGCGTGTCATTCTTCACAACAAATCCATCTCCAGGGCCTGGCACAATGTGCATCAGTGACTAAATCCTCTTCTTGAATGTGCTGAAATCCCATGTGAGCACCAGTTCTTGTCCCAGCTGCTCCATTTCCCATCCAGCTCCTTGCTTATAGCCCTGGAAGCAGTAGAGGATGACCCAAAGCCTTGGAATCCTGCACCTGCGTGGGAGACCTAAAAGAAGTTCCTGGCTCTTGGCTCCTGGCTTCGGATCAGCTCAGCACTTGTTTTTGCAGCCATTTTGGGAGTGAACCAGCAGACAGAAGATTTTTGTCTCTTATTCTCTCTGTAAATCTGCCTTCCAATAAATATAAAATAAATCATTAAAAAATCTATTTTTAAAAGCTCTTCATTCTTAGGCATTCTAAAAATACATATGTCTTTTAATCCTTACTATCACATCTGTAAAACAAAGTATTCTTATTTCACGCCTGGATTGCCACGGTCTGTTTCCCAGCTTTGTGTTCCGCTAATCAATTTATACTGATGTTGAAACGCTGTTCTTACAGTGAAGAACAGATCGCTGCTCTCCTAAGAAACATTTTAATTGGCTCACATTTACTCATTCAAGTTCAAACTCCTAAAAATAGTTTGTAATCTTTCTATTTAAAGAATGGTTCTTACAGTATCACTTGAAAGATATTAGATTGGGTTTCAATATATTATATTAGCATATCCATAATAAAATGACTTCCAGGGATTTCATTGCACATTAAAGTTTGAGATGCCCAAACTGACAAGATCTTAACAACGTGTTCTTTGTTAAATTCTCCAAACTTACTTCTTAGTTTCCATGTGAAACTCTTGTCCTATTTTGCTATTTTCTGCTTCCTGAGGGTGCTGGATTATTTCTTCCTTCCTGGACTTTGTTGGAGTATTTATTTCCTGGCTAACTTCTACCTATGGATCATATTTGCCCTAGATATCATGCCCCTAGTTAAATGTTTTTTCAATTGCTAATGCTAGATTAGCTGTCTCACTTATGCACATTGATGCCATCTTACGTTTTTGTAAGGCATTGTGGTAAACCATTCAGCATTGTAACTGTCTTTGTTGGTTGATCGCACACTCTTCTAGATAGATGACTCCTTAGGGAGGGAATTCTGTCTTGCTTTCCATCGTATCTTTAGAATACAACACAAGGCATGGAAGACTAAGATATCCAGCAAATATTTGCTAAGTAAACACATGAGTAGAAGTTTGACTGTAAGAATTCTCTCATGACACATATACGGTGCTTACTACCTTTTATATCAAAAGGGAAAGAAATTAAAAAGAAAATCATTATTTATAACTAGGAAATTATAACCTTATATAGATTTGATTATTAAAATTGATTATAGTAAAGCAAGGGTGATTGTTCTGTCCCTGATTATGAATCACAAATATCACCAAACATGGAGTCAGAAGTGTTTTTCCCAAACAGTGCAAAAACTACCTCATTTAAAAGCATTTGAATCTAAAGCCATCCAGAAAGTATCTTTAACTTTTAGTCAATTCTGCTAGGGAACAAAGTAATTTTTAGGAATGTGTCTTTGATTAGGGATCCTAAAGTCACTGATCCTTTGAATGTAATATCTGTGGAGATTTCTTCAGAAAAAGACACTGTTTGCACTATTTGTCTTACAGAATGGCATGACTAGATGTGGCTCACTAACATCATGATCAAAGGAGCAAGTTGCCCTCTTAGTCCCTCCTTTCCGATCTGTTTCTATTTGTTTCTAGATTAACAGGTTCTCAGAGGTATAGAGAATAGCCCCAGCCTCCCAGTGTTTAACTAAAACACTTAGGAGGACTTTGATTATACTTTTTCAAGTGTTTCTCTCAAAATTTTTGAGATACTCGCTGATTTAAATAGTCTTGCCCAGAACATTAGTGGATGAATAGTTTATTCTTTTTCTGTATGAGCTGCTTTATTCCTATATCATTTGCCGTGCCTGTGTCTATGATTGAATCTATTTCTTTTCCTTATTCTTAAAATTACATGTAGTGGGGTTAGTTAAAGTAGAGAGTATTTCTCTGCAATGCATCAGACAGAAATAATAAAATGTACTAGAAAGCGTGACAAGAAACTTAGAATATTGTGAAGAATTTTTATTTTTAGAAAGTTGATTTATAGTTTAATAAATCTACCACACCATTAAAGTGTGACACTATGAAAAAATGAATTTAAATAAACATTCTTATATCATTACACATATAATATTTAAAAGATACCTTTAGTTTTTAAAAGATTAAAATCTCTAGTTTTACATCTTACTTAGATTTTTGACTTGTAAGGTGAAAAGTGGATCAAAACACCCTCTGATCATCACATGAAAAATGTTCTGCCCAAAAACAAAAATGACAAGGTGGAATAATCTGTTCTGGACATTCAGTTATAAGATCAGAAGAACTGAATCTTTTATCATCATCTTACCTCCTAAAAATTTTAAATGCATATAGTTTTGCAATATGATTCTGCCACAACATGTACAAATTCGGCTTTGCATATACGTTATTGAGAAACTTGTTTCTAATAAGTAAAGCTTATCATCCATGAGGAAAATTTTTACTTTGAAATGCCTTCATCAGACATTTAAGAAAACACAGTGAAGAATTTTCACAAGCAGAGTCACATTAAATGATAATTTTTTGTAAACTGATCAAAGAAAAATAAAGATGCATTTTATGCACAATTCACAATCAGTGATTTTTTTTTGACTATCATAATTGATCTGCCAACTTGCCTTTTAAGAAAATTGGAGTTCTGGCATGACTATACCTAACAAAAGAGTCTGGAGGCAGGAAAGCCATATAAACCACTAAGAACACAGTGAAAAGCAAATGGTATGCTGGCAGAAGTTGCGCTAGTGCCATATTTTTGGAATACAATAGCTTCAATTTCCCTATTCTGACTACAAGCTCAGGAACTCTAATAAAAAAAATTCAGATTCCAAACTGCACTAACATCTGAAACATTTTGAGTGCTGACATGTAACATGGAAAATTTCATATCTGACCTGATATGAAAAATTGCAGCTGAAACTCAGTTACTCTAAATTTACTGTGCAAAAGGTATTCATGGAACAAAGGAATTTCATGTTTTGATGTGATTACTCTCCTCAACAAAATTCATTACATAGGTATAAATATTAAAATATTGTTTTAAAAAGTGAAATGTGAAACATTTCTGGTCTAAGGCATTTCAAATAAGATATGACTGTGTTACATGCAGCACTGGAACATCCACAAATTCACAGGATATAGCACTATCCTCAGAATCTTCTTTAAAAGCAACCAAAACTTCAGTGGATCAGAGTGGGGGAGATGAAAATAAGATATTCATTTATTTCCTTTAAGAATAAATAACTATCATAGAACTGCAGACCACTCAAATACTGGAAATTTCTACTTAAAAAGAAATAGGAACTAGAAAAGCTAATAGATCTCGGGGAAGACTGCCTGCAGGCACCAAGGCAACTGAGGATGAGGCAATGATGTTTTCTGCTGCAGAACCACTGGAGGCAACCTGGTGAGGGATGTCTGCTTATTGGGGGAACATATAGGTTTAAATAGTATTCGAAAACGGGTAAGGTAGAAGGGTGGTCCTGATGATACTCCCACCCAACAATGGCATTGTAAGTGGCTAGTAAGCATGCCTATCTCCCTGGACCCTCAAACCAAGTCACAGGTCACGTTCCTCATGTGAGGCTGGAAGCTGAGCCTCAGGTCATGGGTAGGTAATCTGCAACCACCAGGTAGCAGACACAGACCCAGGGACAATCACCCACAAATAGAAATCTTTGCAAATCAAAGCAGGAAATGGGATGGAGGAAATGATGGTACAGAAATTCTCTTGAATATGAGTTGGTATCTCACTTGGTTGAAACACATTGGGCTTCTGAAAGCCTCAAGCATGGCTTGGATCCCAAGTGGCACAGCCAATGGCAAACGCTGCAAGTTGAACAAGTCCTGGCTCAGTATATTGCTAGAGGAAGTCTTTTTTCATGAAGTTTCTTTCTACATTCTTGTTGAGTTTACATGCAAACGCCTCCTGAGAACGATTAAAAATACATCAATTCAATTCAGTATTCTGGACATGTGCACAGGCAGACAAAAGCATCTTATATTAATTTAAAGGTTTGTTATTGTCACTGGGGAACTTAGCAAAGTTTTGAAGAAAGAAGTGGGAAGACGATATATTTCCTTTCATGCAAGGTAAACCCTGCAATTCTGTCAATCTCTTTAGTATTTGGAATGCTGCTAATCTTTGTGGCAATTCATCAATTATCAGTTACAACCCAAAATTTCTATGTATTCTTTTCTTTTTAAACATTTATTTTATTTTTATTAGAAAGCCAGATATACAGAAGGAAGGAGAGAAAGGAAAATCTTCCATCTCTTGATTCATTCCACAAATGGCTGCAATGGCTGGAGCTGTGCCAATCTGAAACCAGGAGTCCAGAGCCTCTTCCAGGTTTTCCATGCAGGTGCAGGTTCCCAAGGCTTTGTGCCATGCTTGATTGCTTTCCCAGGCCACAAGCAGGGAGCTGGATTGAAAACATGGGTCCATGTCATGCCAGGACATGAATCAATGTCCATTTGGGATTCTAGCACATACATGGTGAGGACTTTAGCTGCTAGGCTACCATGGCAGGCTCGTATATGATCTTTACAATGGCTTCATTGAAGACTTGGACACATGAGTTTCCTCAGAAACATGACCATGACATTGCCTTGGGATTCTGCAATGATTTTCTCAGATGTCTGATTAATCCTCACTTCTAGGGAGCTATCTAAGAGGAAGGCTAGACAACTTTGATGGCTATTTGTAAAAGTGTGGCAAGTTAAGCATCCACAGTCATCATCTGTAGTTATGATGCCAATACAGTTTCATCCAGATTTCAGAATCAGATGGGCCATTACTACAGCATGATAAAAGTCACTGGGCAATGAAGGGCAGCAAACTTCATTTAGGATATATGCAGTTGGCTCAGAACATCTGGAAATAGAATCTGAGTTGTAGTATTGAATAATTCCAAGTGTCTATTCATAGTGAGTGCTCCATTCTTTGCTTTTTGGATTTACAGAAAATTTCCCTAATTTTTTGTTTCCTTTAATGAATTACCACTTTAGCCTTAAATTATTATACAATGAATCCTCAAAAAAATGTTTACAGAACTTATAGTTAAACTTAAGTTTACAAAAAGCTTACAAAAGCTTTTTAAATGTTTTTAAATTTGCAAAAAAGACATGATTAGCTTTATAGTATTCTCAATGCATTGTTTTCTTTTCAAAGAACAAAATGCAAGCAATACATTTTACAATACTCTGCATGATTCAACCTTTTCAAGTATTTATGAATGAATGTTACTGTGTTCCCTTCTGATTGATATAGCCATCTTGGTAATTACTGTTATTCTTCCAGTTTTTCATTTGCTACTTTCTTGGCGAGACACTCTCATTTCCTCACTCACCTTCTCTTGTCAGCCCTTCACACTCAGGTTGAAGCTATGCATCAATGTTTTAAGAAATATTCCTTGATACTATCCCACCTGCTCCCTGCCCCACTCCATACTCTCTTCAGTGTTCTTTATAGCACTTCATTGGTGTTATTTCAGAAATAAGACAATTTAGGTCCCCAGAAGTTTATTTCCTATCCAAATCATGCTCAAAAATTTTGGAAAAGAAACGACTGAGTGGTAATTTTTCTTTTATCATGTTCTGACTACATTATTAATAATATGGTATATCCTTTCTTTAACAAGAGAAAGATCAATCTGAAAGCAACTTGATAACTAGATTATTCAGGTTTCTTTGCTTTTTGCTTTTTTTTAAAATAATGATTGCTGTACAAACTGGTAGACAGAGATAAAAACAAAGCCTACCTGCTTGAGTTAGAATAGTCACATCTGAACACCGTTAGTTCCTCTGGCTCAATTCAACACAGTAGACTAATGGCTGAGGTCCTCTCTTTGCATCCAAGATCCCATGTGGGCAAAACTTTGCATTCCGGCTGCTCCACTTCCAATGCAGCACCCTGTTTGTGGCCTGGGAAAGCAATGCAGGACAGCTCAAGGCTTTGGAACCCTGCAACCACATACAAGGTCCAGGGTAAGCTCTTGGCTCTTGGCTTCAGATGAGCTCAACTCTGGCTCTTGGGCCACTCAGGGAGTGAACCAGAGGATGGGGCACTTTTCTGTTTCTCCTTCTCTCTTGTTTTCCAGGAAAAAACAAATAAATCTTCAAAAGGAAGGAAGGAAGAAAAGAAAGAAAGAAAGAAAGAAAGAGAGAGAGAGAGAAAGAAAGAAAGAGAGAAAGAATGAAAGAGAAAGAAAGAGAGAAAAAAAGAAAGAGAGAAGAAAGAAAGAGAGAGAGAAAGAAAGAAAGAAAGAAAGAAAGAAAGAAAGAAAGAAAGAAAGAAAGAAAGAAAGAAAGAAAGAAAGAAAGAAAAGAAAGAAAGAAAGGTAAGAGCAGCTGTCAGTGAAACGGACTTCTGTGCAAGTGTCATAGGTTTCATATCCCAGTTTGATTCCAGATAACAGTTTCCAGTTATTGATCATTTTGATATTGTGAATCATGGCAAGACTTTGAGGAAAGACGGACATTTCAAAGCTGTTTATAAATAATTATTTTTTCAAGCCAGAATATAGCTATTCCACAGACAGGATGCTATTTTATACTATATACATTTCTGTATACTATATGCATTTCCATTTGAGTCACCATCTGCTGCTTCCAAGGGTGCATAGTGTCAGAAAGTTGGAACTGAGGATGGAGGCTGGGTATAAACTCTGATAGGTCTCATATGGGCTATACATATCCCCAACCAGTACATCAAATGCCAACATCAATTTATTATGATTATTCCAGAACATTGTGTTGTTTGATTGCTGATTTACTCCTAAGTATATTTCATCCACCACTGTATGTAAAGGATGACAAACAATGCCTAATACATAGTAAAAGATTAATAGACACTTTTGAAATGCATAAGGAAAATATTGTTCAAGCTCTTCCTACTCTAATGTTTTGGTTTAGTTCAAGTTACAATAAAGTATTTGAATATAATTATTTATAATTATAGGCTATCTAAAGATGAAATTTGGAAAATTAGTACTGCAATTTGAATTTTAGGAAAGAAAAACAAAGAAAAGATTAAGGATAAACTCGTTGATTGCTTGACAAGGAAATCCAGAATCTCTTGTATTTATTTCAGTATCCCCTGCACTGAGAATGGGGGTCATGGTAATGTGGACATTTACTTAGTTCTTGTCTAATGTTAAATGAACACTATTGCTTTTGAAAAATAAAACATAGATAACATTTTTATCAGAATAAAGATGAAATTATTACTTAGTTCTCCCCATTCTTGAAATCTGACCCTCAACTTGGGTTTCTAAAATCTGTACTCATTTTTGCATGCTAACGCAGTCCTCAAAACCCTTCATTAATTGTTTTGTGCCATTCCATGGCAGTCCTTCCAATCAGTGATGATGGCAATAGCTCAAAGTGTCCAATTTCTAGGAAGAATACCAGCAAGAAACCTTAATGTGACATGAGATCCACATTTTATCTTACAGCATTCTTAGACAGCTTAGTTAGTACTTTTTGATGAGGAGAGAGAGAGAGAGAGAGAGCAGGATACAAGAGGAGATAAAATTTACAGACAAAAACAGAATCTTGGAGGGAGGCATGAGATCATATCACCATGACAATAAGAGCTCAAATCCTTAGAGATTATCCAGGCTATTATTTTATAGATGAAAAAAAATGGAAACCAGAACTTAGTTTAAGAGATTTTTCTGAGATTACAGAACGAACCTGTTTTACAACTGAAAGTAGAACTCAACTAGCCTGCTCTATTTAAAAAGAATTCATCTGTAAGACTGTCCATGCCGCTGTGTTTCATTACATCATATACAATGTCAAACGAGGTTAAGCTTTTAAGAGGTAAAGTGCTCATCATGAAAACTTTTATTGGGGAAGGGTTTTAATAATTTATCATGAAAAATTATTTCAACAATAAAATGAACAACATTGATAAAAATGATGTGATAAAAAACACATACTTATAAAATGAGTTTTGGATAACTGACTAATGTTTAAAAGAAAACATTTCTAGCAGGCAATAGAAAATAAGCATAGTTGGAAAGAGAAATATGTTTATTGTAAAGCAAAATCTATAGAATTTATCCAAGTGATTTGGATTATTTCTTTGTTTTTAAAGATTTACTATTTTTATTGGAAAGGCAGATTTACAGAAAAGAAGATACAGAGAGAAAGATCTGTCTTTGGATCCACTCCCATAAGTGGCAGCAATAGCGAGAGTCCAGCCAATATGAAACCAGGAGCCTCCTTCAGGTTTCCCATGTGAGTTTAGGGTCCCAAGGATTTGAGTCATCCTCTATTTCTTTCTCAGATTTGAAGCAGGGGACTGCATGGGAACTGGTGTAGGCAGACTAGAGCCAGCACTCATATGGAATCTTGGCTTGTACAAGGCAAGGATTAGCCACTGAGCCATCATGCCAAGCCTCCGATTATTTTTAAAAGTACAATTTAAAAAGTTAAGGAAACATGCTCATTACTTCTGCATATGGTGGCTGACTCTATGACTGATATATTTCTTTTGAAGAAAATCTGCAAAACTAATGTTATTCAAGTTAAAAAATACATATGACTTCAAATGTTAGTTATTAGTATTAATACAAATAAACAGTTTTCATGTCTGAGTACCAGACAAGATCTTGAAATCTAAACATGTTCGAGAGAATTTATTCGTGCAACACACTTCCTGATCTGTGGTTATGTGCAGCAACCATATGAGACACTTCGTTTTTTTTGTAAAAGACAAACAACTCCGGATCATGTTTGTCCTGGAGAAGCAGCAATCACAGACATCAAGTGTCTGGTAAGGCAAGAATAATCACAAATCAGGTAATTAGTATAATTAATAATGCCGTCTTTCTGTCAAACTTGTGCAGTTCATGAGCTTGGTTAGGAATTGTGAAGTTTATGGAGTGATGTCGAGGTGCCCCTTTTCCTTGAAAACACACTGTAATATATAGGGCAGTGTCAAGAGCCCGAAGCACTCAGTATTCAGATACTTGATGAGAGTGAAAAGAGTCCTTTTATCAGTGTGACCTATCAGACCCTAATACTCCATTGTTAGGGGAAGGCTGAAATAGTCACAAACAGCTCTCACTGTAAGAGAATCCGCTTTCTCCTCTGATACAGCGAGTGCTTTGAGTCATGCTGGCACATGACTGGAAGCTGAATGTGAATCTTCAGGAGCAAGCAGTTTGGAAAAACTTTATAAATGGATATTTTTACATTTTCTTGGATATCAAGTTCAAGCACAAATAACTCCCTATGGTTTATCAGACGTGTAGAAAAAAGTGAATCCTGCTTTGTCTCTTCTTGAAAAGCTCTATTAAAACATTGTTAGAGGCTGACACAGAAGATGGCTTGAATCCCACCTGCTCTGATGAAGTATCTACTTATTTTTACTGAATGCTGTGTAGGACTCAAAGTTGAGAGACATAAAATCACCAGCCCTGATGATGTTGGTCTTCTTAAAATTTATTTCAGTTTACATGTGATTTCCCTAGTAAATGTATTCATGTTCCTCAGAGCATGTATTACAATTTGTCCTTGTTAGTTGATTATTGTCCATCTCCTCTATTATAGTTGTAAATATCTATTTGTTTGTTTATTTGTGATTATTTATTTGATCTTTAGGAAGAGAGACAGGGAGGGGAGCAATAGCAAGAGAAGAGAGATTAGTCTTCCATCCACTGGCTTGCTCTCCAAATGCTCATAAAAGCCTAAGTTGTCAGGTCAAAGACCAGAGCTAGGAAATACGTATTTTGTGTGTGAGTGACAAAGACCCAACTACAGAGCCAGCATCACGCGTGTCAGGATCTGCCTTACCAGGAAGCTGAAATCCAGAGCTGGAGTTGGCAGACCCAGGTAATCTCATGTGGCATCCAGGCACCCTATCAATGTCTTAAATATTGGACCAGACAACGTTCTTCTGTTGCATTATAAACATTGTAAAACTAGAGGTGATATGTTTACTGGAACAGAACCAGTATGTTACATAGAGCCTACACCTAAGAGACACTCAATAGTTAGTTGGTAGGTGAATGGCTATATATCGATTGGAACAAGACAAAAATAGATAATTCTACCTTAGTCTGTCTTTAGATGGATGGCTGGAATCCTGCAACACTCAGAAATATTTTGAAGGGTCCAGCACAGTAGCCTAGTGACTAAAGTCCTAACCCACGTGAGATAATGTGGAAGAAGCTCCTGGCTCCTGGCTTTGGATTGGCTCAGCTCTGGCCATTGCGGTCACTTGCGGAGTGAATCAGTGGACAGAAGATCTTCCTTTCTGTCTCTCCTCCCCTCTGTATATATGATTTTCCAATAAAATAAATGAGTATTTTTAAAAAGTATTCTGAAACCTGAATATTGACAAAGACAATTCACAAGCTAAAAGCAGAAATTCCAAGTTTGCATTGTTTTTCTGTGGTTTACAATTCCAAACTGAGGATCTGTTTTGGGGAATCAGTAGTACATCTTCCCAATGTGTCCAGTCTTAGCTCCTTTCTCCGAATGAGGCAAAATATTAAACACCTGACCGATTGTGAGTCCAGTCAAACTGTCTACCATCTAGTTGTTCCTTCTTTTCAACAGACGGACTCCATCGGGTTCACATCTCATGTTGTGAATGTGATATTTTTGTTTTGAGGATAAATAATCTTTTATATGTTCAATGTACATCTTCCAAAAAATGTTTACTTATAGAGAAAATGATCTTAATACTTTGGTTCATTGCCTGAATACCTGCAGTTCAGTAACAAGGGGCAGTTCTAATCAATTATTGAATTCATAATATATTCAGAAATTATACAGCATCAATGAAATGCTGTACGAATTGCTCAGGAAAAGGAATAACTGTTACAGGATTTTACATGAATACAAACAAAAATAAGAATTGGTAATTTTACAGGGGAAATAGGACATTGGGTAATAGGCTGTTTTCTTGAGATATCAGGAAATCAACACATTTAATACCTCAAACAAAGGCAGACAACCGTGAGTAGACTAGGCTAGTGAATTATTGCAGATCTGGCTGCTTTGGTTGGCAACCAATCATTGAAAGTTTTCTTCAAAAGCATGCTTGTAGAAAGAGATAATACAACTATTTAAAAAAACAAACAGGTGGAAAATCTCTGTTAGGATAAAGGAAGATCATGTAACAGATAACTTAGAAAGCTAAATTTACCTATGACTGCTATATAGAATTAATTCTTGGTTGAACACTTCAGTAGACAAGTTGCTTTATTTAGTTCTTTGAATCTACCAATTTGTCTGCAAATATTGTAGAAGTAAATATGCAAAGTAAGAAATCAAAGTAATAAACAAGAAATGAGGTGGGGTCATAAATACACTTACACTGAAGACTATCATTAAATCTCTTGAGTTATTATCAAAACCAAGCTGATCGTATACAATAAAATGCTTTGTAAAGTTAGTGAAAACTTGAGTCTTATATACTGAAAATTTGATTCTGAGAATTGCTTGCTTTATCTAAATTAGCCTCAGACAATTACTTTAAAATTGAATAAAATTACTTTTAATTTGCCTGTAGATGCTTTCCATTCTTGTTAAACAATAACATTCAATTATGCCTGTATCTATTCATTTGCTCTATAAAAATTTACTAATTTTACTTTTTGCCAGGCATTGCTTTTCATACCAGAGAAACATAAATGAACAAATCATAGATAAACTACTCTATCAACTTTATTTCTGATAGGAAAAATCAACAACTAAAGCTGTGTTTTCATAATATTTTATAATAATACAAAGACTTTTAAGAATGATAAAACAGGTCACGGTGTGATGGCTGAGTGGTTAAATCCTCACTTGGCAAGCCTATAATCACAAATGCGCACTGGTTCCTGTCCTGGCTACTCTACCTCCCTTCATCTCCCTGCTTGTTGCCTGGGAAAGCAGTGCCGGGGTGGCCCAAAGTTTGAGACCCTGCACCAATGTGGGAATCCCAGAGAAAACTTTTAATTCCTGGCTTTTGATTGCAGCCACTTGGGAAGTAAACCAGAGGATGGATGATCTTCTTTCCTGTATCTCTTCTCTGTAGACCTGCCTTTCCAATAAAACTAAATAAATCCCTGTGCCACAGGAGGTAAAACAATCCAGGTGAGGTGAGAAGAGAGGCCTAAAGAGGCAGATCAGATGAAATGCAAGCAAGCAGGTGAATTTGGAGTAAGCAGCACAAGGGGGGAAAGCGATAAAGAATGCCAAAGGTTTATATGATAGCCTTTCATGTCCTGGTAAACACCACAGATGTTTCTGTGTTAATAGAAAGTCAAAGAGTTTTTGAGTAAAGTGATATGCTATGGCTTTTATTTTATTTTATTTTAACCATTAAGATATATTTCTCTTTTTTTCATTTTTAGTTATTTTGTGCTAGAGTTCCATAGGCTCTGGGATTTCCTTGATGCCTTCTCCAAGCCTTCTATTCCCCCCGCCACCGATTTCCCCTATATTTTTACAATAGAATAGTTCTTCATAAACAATCATAAGACCATCATTTTGCTAATTAAGTGCACCCTGATATTTCAGGCATGGACAATGGTGGAGAGTCCAACATCTTATTCTCAAGATGCATGTGAAAGTTTCACTGGGAGTCCATCTTTGATCTGGAGGTAGTGACGCACACTGCATTGTATCCTCACATCTGGATTTGACAGTCCTACTGCACAGTTATTATATATCCCCTTAAATGAAAAGCCACAAAATCAGTAACGGGAAGAAAAGTAGAAATTTACAGTGCCATGAAGTTAACTAACAAGCTACTGAATGAATAATGTGTTGCTGAAGAAATGAAAAAGAAAATCAAGAACCTTCTTGAAGAAAAATGGTGCTACCTGTGAGTCAGTGAATGATTTAATATGAGAAAATAACTTACTCTGAAGAAACAAAAATAAAAACAAAACCATTGAAATCCATGAGATGTAGTTTCTGCTGATCTTTGTTGGTCAGATATGTCTCCGCTAGGTAATAGATGGATAGGTTTTGATTTTTGATCCAGTTTACTAATCCATGACATTCAATTGATGGTTTTAAGCCCGTTATAATCAGGGTTAATATGAATCGGCAATAACTTTGCCCGGTCATTTTAACAATGCTGTTTATTCTTTGATTTAGTCTTCTGTTGTTATTTTACTGGGATGTTCTTCACAATTGTCTTGGTTTGGTTGAGTGCCATTTCTTTTCTCTGTCAAGAGAAAATCTTCAAGAATCCTTTGTTGGGCAGTTCTGGAATAGACACATTCATTGAGGTTTTCTTTACTGTGGAAGAATTTTATTTCATTTTCAAAGACAAAGTAAGGCTTTGCTGGGTATATTGTGCCGGGCCAGCTTTTTTTTTTCATATTAAAATCTGAAATATGTAGCTCCATTCTCTTCTGGCCTGTAGAGTTTCCTGTGAGAAGTCAGCTGGGAGTTTTATTGTGGTTACCCCATATATCAACTTTTTTTTTTTTCATGAGCACATCTAAGAATCTTTTCCTTATATTCAACAGAAGCGAACATGATTATTATGTGTCGTGGCACAGATCACTTTTGGTCAATCCTGTTGGGAGTTCTGTGTCCCTCCTGAATGTTGTTTCCCAATTATTTCTCCAAATTAGGGAACTTTTCTTTTATTATTTCATTGAAAAACATGAAATTTTTTAAAAAGTTTATATGCTTACAAAGTTAATCAG